TGCAAATAAGAACAACTACTGCAAATAACAGTGAAACGCGCTAATATATATATATATATGTATTAATATACTGCATGATTCTACTGCACCATTCTTGTGCATTCAATTCCATAGATTTGGAGTTGCGTGCATCCCAGCCTGTTCAAAGCCCGCGGCGGTTGTCATGGCTGGTGCACAAAAAGGGCCAAATGCAAGGTAATCAGCCCCCACACTTCTGTCCTCTTGAACATCAATCACTTGTGCCAATGTTCTGGTCTGGGCAATCGCTAGTGCTTGGATTCATGTTTTGATATATATGTATATCACTAAAACACTGTAATTTACAGTATAGAACGCACTTTGGGTGTGTATTGGAAGGGGGGGTACCATATATATATATATATATGCCACTAAGTCACTAAGTTGCCCAAATGCATTTTGAGGTTTGCCTGTTCATTTGGGCGACGACATGGGGAAGTCCCTGCCTGACTTCAGTGTTTGGATTGCACTGGTCGTATTGCTATTCCCATTGCCACGCATGTTGGGTTTTCAGAAGCAGCCCGATCTCAGGATCATACCACCTCTTTCTGGTTGCAAGTAAAGCACATATTTGAGGACCTTTTGTGGTTGCAAGAGTTAAGCCATCCGATTGTGAGGAAGCTCAGTGCATCCAGAACGGTGTCTTGAAGAAAATGCACATGTATCCAGCACGTGGCGGGTACGGAAAGGTAACCTAGAGTCCTAGAGATCATCCGTAAAAGTTTAGCATCTGTTCCGCTCTTTCAGTTGTGGAAGTCTTGTTCTCTTTGGCCGGCCGATGTTTGCACCAAACGACCAACCGCAAAAACCGCTTTCATACTCTACCGCAGAGCAACCAGCATGTACCTGTCTGGTCTTGTCTGGCCGTCTGATCTGCGCATATCTGCGGAAGGCCCAGTGAAGCTCCACAGTCGGAAGGCCTCACAGCTCCACAGTTGGAAGCCATTCACTGCCAAAGCATCGACGAAGCAATGGCCGTTTGCTTGTATTACCTGGTAAACAGTTCACGTCGACCTGGTCCACTGGTTCAGTTGGTCCTATTTAGAAGCCACTGGTGGTATCGCTGTCATGGGGCATCCCATCAGCTGACGAACGGCTTTATTAGCCCACACACCGAAATAGCAAAACCAACAGATTCTCCCGTCCAAAGAGGCAATAGAATGGGATCACTCACGCACCTGCCGGCGTGAGTGATGAAGGCAAACCCATGTGTATCAACCTGCTGATCGTTTTTGCACCTCCTTCCCGCTCGTTCAAGGCTTTCATTGAAGTGGGTGATTCAGGTAGTCAACACCATTCTTCTCCAATGTAAATCTTCAGGTCAAGGAGTCAAAGGGAACTACTCCCCCCTCCTAGCCTCGGCCAGAAAGCCTTCCACATCACCTGGCCTCCGCATCCCGAAGCGCCTCCTCCGCGGGGTCCAAAGTTCAAAATGGGAATGTCCAAAATGGTGCCTTGGGCAGCGTCCCTTCTCGATCAAGCTGGATGAGCCATATAGAAACAGGGAGGTAGAAACAGTCAGCACCCGAGACTCACTCGATACATGATCCTGCGAGGCGTGGCGACGTTCTATGCAGCACGATTCTGGTATCCCGGGTGTTGCATATTGTTGCATGGTTTTGCTCCAAATCTCACAGCATAGGGAATCCTGACGTGGGTTGGTTCCAAAGTTTCGGATGGCAAGCGGAGGTGCAAAATCCCCGCAAGGCGCATGTAACCTGTTCGCTTCCCAAGGTGCAGACTGAGAATATTTGGAAAAAGGTATGTGTAGCCCCTCGTCCTTTCGTTGGCTTCGCTGCATGAATGTTCCATGCAAATCTCTATATATGTTATATACAAGTATATCTTTCACCGATTTAGTCTCATGTGCCTCGACATGTCCACGTATCAAGAGTGATGCCATCGCGATATTAAAACTTATAAGTTGGCGACGGCTCAGATCGACCCAGCCATGGGACCGGAGCGCGACTCGAGATGCAACACCACTGCGTCTCAATTCCAACAACGTATCATCAACTTAACCATGGACAACAAATTTATATGGTTGGATGGTAAGTGATTGTTCAGTTGATTTCAGCTAATCCAGGCACTGATCCCAAGCACTTGGACAAAGGGCAACCAAACAATGTCACGTCTATATATACGTCTATTCACTCTTTGGACTCTTTGGGATGGCTTTAAGCACCCTAGGATGACCTGCCTTCAGCTAAGCAAGCCTGACGAATCATTCAAGGCACCCTGGATATTTCTCCTCTTGGTCCCAAAGGGGAGTGGAGAGACCTCCTGCATAAATACAACACATCCATTGTTCCTCAGGCCGTTGTGGTGGCAAAACATGAGGTTTTACCTTCATTTGCATGAACGTTAGTTCTATCTCTCTCTATATATTATATATAAACATAAATATAAATATAAATATATATATATATATATATATCAATTGTCAGATCTAGCACTGGCCTCATATTATAGCTGCGCAGAGACCAACAGTTTGCCAACTGACAGAAGAAGGATCTCTCAAAAGGCGGGTCCTTTTTTTTATCACGTGTCATCGATTCAATATGATTCAATCAAGTCTTTGTCCGGACATGTCCCGACCACGACGCTCCGTTCGTAGCGATGCGCTTTGCTCCGTTCGTGGCTTCTTGTTCCCTAGTAGTAAGGCCAGGAGCACCCCGTTCGTAGCGACCTTGCTCCGTTCGTAGCGACGCCCTGGGCCCGCTAGGCCGAAATCACTTCTCTCACCATCCCGGTCCCTTGCTGGGTGGACTTCGCAACACACTCGTTCGCACGCGGACGGATGAAGATCCACCGGGCGGGCTCCGGACCTGTGCTATGTTTGGGCGGATCTCCGACCGGTCCTACTTTCGTGCGCATGGCACATGTATGTTGGGGCAGAAACTGGCTGTTCGCAGGCAGCTCGTGGCCTGGAAAGTTGGCGACCCTTGATGTGCTTCATAGCTACCAGGACTCAATCCGTGGCAGCTACATACCACACAAACTCGATGAAGCTGGTGCCAAGACCAACGCTCCATGAAGCTGGTGTCGAGACCTTTGCTGTCCAAGATGTGGTGCCCGATGGTAACTCCCGCTGTCGCATGAGGTGCGGCAAAATGTCTTCCACGTGTTGGCTCGCATGCGGAATATGGAGAACACTCATGTCTTTAGAGGCAAAACATGTTCTAATAGTCCTATTCTGGTGGTAAAACATGTTCTCTAACTAGTGAGTCGATGGTTTTTTGGTCCATACTCCTCTTCCAAAGGCTATTATCTGTGCACGAATCGGTTGAATACTTACAGTTCCTTGTGCCGCAAATACTTCATCTTCTGCTGACAGGGGGGAATAAGCTGACAGTGGAGTCGTCAGGCACATTCATATAGGCAAACAAATAGTTGTGCAAAAAAGGCAACATAAAATGTCACACCCCAACAAAAACCATCAAACAACGTTGACCAACGCAGTTGCAAACTCACTACTTAGTTCTCTGAGCTGCTTTGCTGACTAGCCTTGTGACTTCCAGTTCTGCAAGAGGAGGATGTTTTGCAATTCAATATGTGTATATATAGTATATATATCTAGTTTTGTTTATATAGTTTCGTTTGGTTTCATGACGTTTTCATATTAATTCTATGATGTTTGTTGAATAATATACTGAAATATGTAAAAATCACGCGCCCAATCACCTAGAAAAGTGTCAGAAACATCGAACACCCAGTAAAACACAGCACGTGAATTATTTCTTATTTATGATGTGATTGCTTTTTTGACATGATTTGGGTCGCACATCACCGACATCACCCCTGCGCACGGAACGTGCGACTCAACATGCGACTGAAGGGGCAACTCTTCGAGTGCCTCGTCCTCACTTCAAAAAAGGTAGCAAATTCATCTTCATATCACTTCCAATGCATCCTGGCGATGTCTTCTACGCGCCGGAGTCTCTCCCAACTCCGAATCCGACCCGAAGCGGGCGTCCCACGACGAGGAGAGGTCGTCCCACGACGAGGGGCCGACATCGACATTGTTGTGAAATACCCAGGGGTATATCACCTTCTCAGGCCTCCTGGCACCTACAGAGTTGAACACAACACCGTACCTTCTCTTCTCAGGTACGACTGGATAGGGTCAATACACGCATGTGGACGGCCCCGATTTGTGAGGACCCGAAATTCCGAAGACCAAGCAAGTGGCTAAGTCCACTTCCCTCATTATTTGGTGGATTCTATATCAAATATGCACCTAGATGTGATACATGCCACCCTCACTGCAGGGACCTACATCACTGCAGGTGATCTTCCACAGCTGAGAAATCCATGATCCAAATGCTGAGCTCATCTACACTCAAGGAGAAAGAACGGTCACCTGATGTCACCTCATGTCCATTGCTGTGTAGTTTTCCTGTGCGATTGTGTAGTGGAACAGGGAACCCCAATCAAACCCCGGGGTAAAAAAGAATAGACCAATACTAAGACTTCAGACTAAAACAAACTATTATTAGAGAAAAAGCAAGTAAAATAGTAAACATATGTAAACATCTACTGTAATGCTTTTTGTTTCAGACCCATTGGTAGGAGGAGGGTTGGTCACCCTGTTCTAACCCACTCCCACGCCCTTGTGGTGTCATATGATTCACCTCCTCCATTACCCACCTGCTGAAATCCTCAGCCCCCAACTATGCCAGGACGCTCTGGAAACGAGGCTCGGCAAAACCTGGCGAAGACAGCGATCACGTCTCTACCTTCGTTTCATGGGCCACGGCCGGCCCACAAGGAATCTTCAGGAGGTCTGAAAATCCGTCAGCAAAGCATCCTAGCCTGTACACACAAAAGAGGCATGAACCACCTCAAAATACATCTTTTGGACCAGCCACCAGTGGTTTGAAGGCTGATCTTCGCAGGTGTACAAAATCACGCCTAGTCAGTTACCACCATAGCCCGAGAAGTTCAACATGTCCTCGACTTGGCTTCCGCATCCTCCCACCTTAAACTTGGCTTCCGCGTTCGCCACGGTCGCCTTGCGTCTGCCTCTTGCGCACCATCCTGGCGAACTGTTGGGATCATATTTTATACTTAATAACTATTACAGTATAAACATCATGAATCATAAACATGTTATGTATATGTATGTACAGTAGTTATGTGTGTGTATGCGTGTATGCGTGTAGATCTTTAGATACTTGCACAAGGGTTTGTCAGGTATGTAAAATGTAAATATGTATGCAACAGAAACAACATGCTTGGCGCCAAAGATTTTGAAGCAAGCAGTCTTGGCAAGGGTTGAACTCTCGATCTCGCTCTTGACCCGAAACTCAGCCAGGCTAGGGCGCCTAGAGATTCGGTCCGTCCCAGGTTGTGGGATCCAGTTCGACAGAAAACATCGTGTTCGCATGCGGTGAGATACGCTCCAGTTCTGTGAGCCAGGCCTCCAGCCTAGGAAGACCCCAAGGCACATGGGCACAATGATGGCAACCGAGATGATCTCAGCAATGGATACAAGAAACGTGTTTGAATTTTGAACCATTTGATCCTGATGGAAACAACATGAAAGAAGCAACTAGGGCGTCACGTTCGGCCTCATGCTCTCAAAATTGTCCCCTAAACTTCTTGTCCATCTTCGCCTGAGGAAAAAAGAACTACGGGAATGGAGCCACGAGTTCGCAGGGGATACAATATACATCTATTGTTGCCTTGACCAGCATCAACTTCCGCATCACGACGTGTGAGTTGGGAAAGTGGCGGTGTGATCAGCCTTTTACAGCCACTGCACCAGCATGAACCCCAAACGGCAGCGGCAACTTGATGTTTTTTTGCAAGCAAATCTCCTTGGTGTGGGAGGCAAAGGGGGACAATAGGCCAGAAATCATCTTGACCCAGCATCCAGAAGAGCCATGGGAGACACAAAAGGAGACAACGTTGAACCATCTCAGCGCAGCATCGAGAGGAGCCGTGGGAGACAAAGGAAAACAAACACATACAAAGCAAAATCACCTGAGCCCATGATCCTTGGCCCAGGATCTAGTCTATGCAAGAGTTGAGAGCTGGTTACTGGTTGGGGAATAATTGCTCGACGTTACGTTTGTAATGTTTCTACGCCAAATGGGCTGGGCATCTTCCATGCAGTCCATGCAGTCTTGCTACATCCTTCTAAGCCTTGCCACAGTTGGACCAGTTCCTCAACCTGAACCCCTGAACTTGTACACCACTTGTTAATGTTGACTGGAACTTGGAGGCCACCTCATGTCATGAGTGGCCTTCTGCAAATGAAGGTTGTTGCACATAGCAAAGGGATACAAAGAGTCTAAACAGCTCTGCGCGGCTGATATATATATATATACACATGCCGATACGTACGTCAACATCTACAAAGCAAATATCGCTTGGTCGTGCTGGAGCATCTGGATGATGCCCATCGTGGAGAGTGGCTTGGCTCATGTTGACTATGGGGCAAATGGAGTCACCTCTCATCTCGGGCGTTGGTCTCTGCTTCGCTCGTCTCGGTCGAGGAGCACTTGCTTGAACGACCCACATCTCCTGCACGTCATGTCTCGACCGACACCGATGGCCTTGTGGGGGTGGACAGCTCAGGACAGGAACAGGAAAGCCACCGTGGCGAAGCTACCGAGTGAAAAGCGTTCTTGTGTTACATCTGTTTTTTGTTGCAGGAATTTCTGTTGGCGGCGGCGGCACGGCCCTCCAATGTTGATCCAACATTGGGAAAACCCACGGCCACTGAGCTGAGTCTTTAGAGAAGCCTGGGTATATGCACATACGCACACAGCATTGGTCGCACCAGCCAATCGCGGAGGAATTTGATGATAGATCCCTATTAAATACTTGATATAGATTCCTTCAGTTTCGTAAAGGTTAACCGTTTCCCACCTGTTCAACATTTGGCGTGGAAACCAGTCCCGCAACTTGGAGTACACGTAAGGAACGGAATCCTGGACACCTGAGAGAGCTCGAGTATGAAGGTAAACGGTAAACCTAGTATCCAGTCAGTGGATAAACTTTAAACATTTTGGAAGCACATCAATTAGTTCATGGTAGTTGGTAGCTGGCTTCTTAACATGACAAGCCCGCCTCAAGCGCCAACACTCCAATGGTCTATCCACGAATAAAACACCGCGATGACAACATAAATCACATGAAAAGCAATGAAAACATATGAAAACCATACACGCATTCTATCATAGTATAGAATCATGCACCTTCCAATGCATGATTACGTAGATTCTCCACTACAGACCAATCACTGGACGCCTTTCTCACTTTCCAGCCGATTTTCCGTCTCCTGGAATTCGGGCACTGGCTCGATCATCCAAGCATCCGACATCGTGCCGTTGTCAGAGAGCCTGAGGTGGCTGGGTGGACCCTGGTGCCATTGTCACAGAGGAGTATTGAGGATTGGAGTGCCAACATCAATTTTGGTAGCTGGACTCCATTCTCTGTTGATGTTCCCCCAAAAAGAACACACATCAGAAGCACCAAAACTCACCCGAAAAAAGAACAACACCGGTCCACCGGTCAAGCCCTGTTGAGTTCAGAAGGTACGTTGAACAACATTCGGAGAATGCCCAACAGGTCCAGCACGCATTGCCATCGGATGGCCCATGATTACTGAATCGCCCGCGTAATCAAGGACAAAAGTGAGCTCCCCATGAGGTTGATGCATCTCAAGAAATTGAAGCAACGATTTCTAAAAGCGTGGCCGGACTCGCTTCACATTTTGTGGCACCTTCCCCACCGGGTCGAAATGCACATAAATGCTCTAAGGCACCAAATGAAATTGCCATTGATGTCAACCAGGGCCACTTCTTTGGCACCTCAAATCTTGCAGGCAAAAACCCATCCGACGATCCGAGACCTTCGCCGAACGATCGCCGGGCTAGCCCGAAGCGAACCGGGAACCGGGCAAAAATCCCGGTGGAGTTCGCGGCCGGGATCTACATGGATCTACCGTTCGTCTGCAGTCTGCAGTCTGCCGTTCTTGCCGTCTGCCGTTCCACAACTAGCGGCTCTAGGGACTGGATGTGCGCACGCTGCCAAAAAGATCGTTTCGATGCCGATGATGGAATCTGGAGGTGAATTGAGTATGCCCGGAAAGTAAATTTGGATAAGTTTGGTCTTTACGGTGGTGCAATCAGGATATCTCATCCAGAAACGCGTGCGGCATTTCCAGTCGTGTAAACCCTAGCAAGACTTCAACAGGGGCCAATCCAAGTGAACAGTAGGTGCCTGTGCCACTTCTGATGCTGACCAAATTCACCAAATCGGTGCCATTCGACTTCCATGTGCTTCCCCATCAAATCACGTGCCGACACTCTATGGGAAAAACCCAGCCCTTTAGACCATCCCTCCCAGCAGGTGGAACATCCACTCATCGTTTGTTAGTCTTCATTTCGGGGCTGTGCCATCCCCAGCATTCCACTTCCTGATTGATTAGGGAGAGTGAAACCACCCGTCGCACGTGGATCCAAGCGTCTGCCGTGCTGCACCTGCTGCACCACCAGCGGGTTCTTCCGTGTGTTGCCATCGAACTTCACCTTAGCTCTGGAGTAATCAGTAATCCAATGCAATCCATATGTGTTAACATGTGAACAGTTTGGGCAAGTGTGGATGGTCTGAAAAGGGTGCCCCCGGAGTACATCGACAGATCCCAGCAAGGGATCGAACTTGAAGCACCCAGACACATCTCGGCTTCCAAAGAACTGGATGATACTGGTCATCTGAGACCTTCAATTTGCTTACACCCAGTCCAAGGCGCTCTTCCTGAGACGCCTTGGAATTCCAACTCATTCCGCAGAAAGAAGGTGAGCCTCCGGTGATGTCCGCTGCTCCGCGGAAAAGAGCGGAACCGGTGCAAATGTAAACAATTGGAGAGGGGAGCAACAAGGTCGGCTTTTCAGGTGAAGTTTTTAGCGGTGCCAGATTTTGAAGTCACAGCCGGGGTGCAACACCGTTGAGTGCAACAATGGTGCCGATGGTACAACTCCGATTCATTCCTTATCTAGATGCGCTATGGTGTGCGTGCGCATCTGAAGATGTTCTCATCCTGATTTTGTGGGTGTTGACCTCAGGTCGAGCTTCATTTCCTGCAGTGCATACGGAGTCACGTGTTGACCTTTCATAGCTATATGTCACATCTTGGCCCGACAAGCAAGCAATATGTTTTTACAGGCCCACGGTTCAAGCATCAACACAAGGTCAGGCGGTTCACAAGACCCAAGGGTATGGGGATATATGGTTTAGGGATCCACATGCTTTCTCAGAAGGTACTTGGACCCTCCAGGCTTACATATTTATAAAAGAGTCTCCAATCACCCTGTGAGAAGGGCATGTGAATGTGGATCCATAGGGATGAGCATGCAACAAATAATATCAAATGAATCAAACATACCGCTGGTTGTGCCGGACTCTACTGCGTCATTGACCCGGGAAGAATCGAACCTCGAGGCATTCTCGAACCTCGAGGCGCGTTCTGAAGAACCTCGTATCCAGTTCCGGCGTCCGTATACCGGGCCTTTCATGGGTCTCAGCCTCCGGCTGCTGAAGTTGCTGGATGCTGTAGCCCGTTTTCAGCATATTCCTGAGCAGCTTCAGGGATGGAACAAATGGAAGCCCGTTAGGGTCGAAGGTGGCACAGCATTCTATTGAAAAGAAGGTCCACACGACACGAAGGCGTGAAAGGATGCCATCCATGCATGCAACAGTACGCATGCATGCGCAAGCGGCGAACAAAGTCTGCTCCAAACAATCATGACTTCAAGGGATGCTGCAAAACTGGGCATCCGGTGTAATATGGTGTAAACATGAGAAAATCCACGGATGAACCGGCTTGAAAAAGAATTAGAGTGTGACGTTGGGCATCGTTTGAGAGAAACATCAAACTAACACACTATCAAACACCAGCAATGTATCGGATGTGCTTTTGCACGCATCGTGCCGAAGGCATCATCCATCTGGAATGGGGTGGTGCACCCGGCAACAGCAAGTTGGACATTCCATCAAACCCTGAGCATTTGGTTGGTCGCAATATGCTAGCCGCGAAGAACCATCTCAGCTTCTTGAGGGCCTCTGCACATTCTAGACGGTTCAAGGGAGAGTTGCACTTTAAAGGCCTGAAGAAAAGACAATACATATAGCAACCAACAATATTACTCATGCACTATTCAGCCAATGAAGAACAAAAAACAACTCCCTCAAGACCAGTCTTTCTGCCTAAACCAGTTCGCTTCAAGGTCTCAGCCTCAGTCGGTCTGTCTTTTGAAGGGCCTAACTTATTATGGACCCCCCTTTGGATTGAACAACCCTTTATGCAGGTGTTTTTATTAAATATATTTAGAGTTCAAGAGTCTACGATAAGTGTTCATTCCCGTCTCTCTGAGAACAGATCTGTTATATATTGCCACCTGAACTATATAGAAGCCATTCTGACGTGTGTTCATCCAGGCTGCTGAACGGCGAACGCATATGCACAGGCTCCATCAAGCGCGAGGGCTTTCACGTCATCATAAGGGTCCTGAGCACCATGAAAGGCCACCCCCAAAATAGGAGGGTAACGTGAATCATGTTTACCTATCTCTTCACATAAACTTTCTTTTGGCAACTGGGGAAATCGAGGGGAAAGGCTGAGGATCAGGACAATCTGGCCGCGACTGAATCTAAGAAACAGCTTGCCGTTCTTGTGCTTTTGAAAGCACGCAGGTCTATACCTCATACATTTGCTATCATGTGTGGAGATGACTTGTAGTGAAGTGTGGATCCCAAATCTGCCAGAACCTGAAGAAGAATCAGTTGGTATTCACGAAACCTGTTGGATATTGCCATCTTCTGGCACCAGAAGCAATGCTTCAGCTTAAAACATGTGAATCTAAACAACCAGAGACACATTGCCAGTTGCAAATGACAATCATTCACCATCACGGCCCAAACCGCTGGCTAAGGTTTCCTCGGTCGCCTCGTTTGCCCGAAGATTAGCAATTGGAGCTGTCGGAAAAAAAGAAGGACACAATGATGTTCATCATGTCCATAAGATCAGCCAGTTCTACTGTTCATTCGTGCAACGCTCCAGAACCCTGAACACGGCAAAAAACTGTAGTGGTCCTTCTCTCACCTGGGACCTGTTATATAGACCTCCTGCTTCACCTCCTGCTTCAAACCCCTCCGTACAAAGACACACACACAAAACAAAAAACAATGATCAACCACTGTTCAGTCTTTTCGTAAATTTTAGTGGCCCCAAGTGTCAGGCACCATGGTCGTTGATTCCCCCTCAGGGAAGCCAACTTGCAAGTGCTTGTCCAACAAGGTCAACAGGCTCCTACAAGGTCAATGGGCAAAGACAGGACCACCCTGGCGAACGGTCCCACAGAACCACCTTTGCTGCTGAAAACCAGTGCTCCAAAAAATCAAACCAAGCACCACTGCTGGTGATCAACCAGAAACATACGGCCCAGGGCCCAACCAGTGCTTCTCTCTGAAGCAAAAAAAGAAAAGGAAAGTCAAGCAGGCCAATGAATCATGGTGGATTCGGGAACTTGAAAGCAATACAAATTCCATCTCAAGCAGCTTTATGCAGCTTTTGGGCCACCTGCCCCAGCTTCCTTTTTCTGGATGCCTGTGGTTTCAAGCAAAGCGATCAACTCACTCGGTTTCAGTGTTGCCCCTGGTGACTCCAACAAGCAAGCAGTTCCTCGGCGGCTGGTGCCGCACAAAATGACCATCACAACCGCACAAAATGAAAAGGTGAGCGGATTGTTTTGGGAACTCTGCCCAACGGTTTCGTACTTAATTTCGTAGATGGCATGGTGAAAAAACATGACCGATTTGGGAGGGGATCCACCAGAAGAAAGGACGCTACTAGGGGCTCCTGGCCGTACTACTCGGAGCAAGTAGCTACTAGGAGCAAAGGGCATCGCAACAAACTGGCTGAGTCCAACCGCTCCAAGCAGAAAATCAACGCCCGGCGTCCGAACGACGCCCACGCCCGTCCTGGGGCTGTGGCCTTTGAAGCAGGGGAGTGGTTTTTCCATATCACTCTTTCGCGCCCGGCCAAGGCCAACAATGTTGATAGCTCCTAGCACGAATCGGCCTATCACCAACCACGAGTGGACGATGTGTACTGGGTGATGGGCTGTGCTCCCAGAGGCAGAAATGGCATAACCATGCATAACCTGCAAGTGAATCGCAAGAGAGGTAAGCCAACAATGCATAGGCCGCTGAACCCAGGTCTGGAAAGTCCAGCGCCAAGTAAATAACTATACACCAACCCCCACCCGGATCTGCTTGATCTGTGCGATGCTCGATCTGCTTGATTATTGTGGCAAAGGGCCTCTAGCTCTAGCTGCTACTTATGCCAAATGGCCCTTTGATGGAAAGCGCCGCACAACCTCTCTATTGTTGGTCCAAAGGTTTTTTTTCAGCATGTATGGTGCAGTGGGCTGGAATGAAACGAAAGCTGCATTACCTCAGGAATGAATGCATCATAAAAAGAAAACAAAAAACTGTGCTTGCAAACATATGCCTGCCCCAAAAAAACCTGCCATCAGAATCATGCCTTGCTTCAACAGGTCTTGCGCTGAACGAATTTATGCACGTGAAGTTGACCAGCATACAACATGCCAGGGACATCCAAACAAGATATATGCGCCAACGACATCCAACGACCATGTCAAATTGGTAAAGAAGAAGTCCAATGTCAGTGCAACATATGCCTCGTTCACCAATGAAGTACAGTTGAAAACCGGTTCGCGCACCGGTTTTACCCGAAACCCGTTTTGGTTCCATCCCGAGGTGGAGGGCGATGTTTCGCATGGCGATGTGGATGGACATACTCCATGGGACTGGCATATTCACATGCATTGGTCTAGTCTTTCAACCAAAAATGGAGTGTCTAGGGGTATACAAACACAAGGATTGCATTATATACATATAGACTTATATAAGCATACAACCACACGAAACAAGCAAGCAATCAAATCAAATGAACAATAACACATACCATCACATAGCAGTACATATCATTACATACCATTGCATTACATTACACTGCATATATATATATATGGGCGCCCGACGTTTTGGGGGCCCCTTGTGAGGAGCAGCAGCAAGACAGATTTTTTTCCTCAGGGTTCTTGCCAGACAATGCTCAGATGGCTTCCTTGATCGCGTTGATGGTCTGCACAATGAGGCGGCTGCAGTCATGACAGTCAGAATGCACCTCCTGCAGGTTCCTCTGCAGGCTCTCGAGGTTGGTCAGGGCCATATTCAACAAGCGCCGCCGCTTGGCACCCTTGGTGGAGGAACTTGAGGGCAAAGAATCTGAGGCAGCACTTTCATCAGACCCGGTCTTCTCGTCATCAGCAGCAGCATCAGCTTCAAAATCTGCCTGCGCCGCTTGGCCTTCTGCTTCGGTGGATGCCTGGCCCATGTTGTCTTGGAGAGAGTCTGCCGCTGATGCCTTGGGATGCTCATGCTTTTCATCTTCAAGAGGGATTGCTGCTGATGCCTGGGGATGCTCCTGCTTTTCATCTTCAATGGCAAGGGCTGGTGAACTGCTACGCCCCTGGATATTTTGGAGAAGCCATTCTTCTAGAGCAGCCTGAGCAAGGCCATTCCAACCACCCAGCCGTCCAGTCACCAAGCCATGGGTTCTGAAGGTAATTGATGTGGCTCTGCAACTGCTTGACTGTGCGCAGCCGCTTGCTTTCACACGCCACAACTTTGCCTGAAGCAATGTCCGAATGCAGCTTGTGGACGTCTGGAACTGGCACCACTGCTTTCTCAGCAGAGTCAGGTTGCTGAGGCTGACTCTGCGCAGTGAAGCTGGCCTCCGAGGCAAGGTGGATGTCGAGGCTCAGGCGGCCAGCCGCAAGTGTAGAGGCAGTGCCGATGATCAACTGCGCTTTTGGAGCCATGGCCAATCTACGAGGTGAGCCAGCAGAATCTAGCAAAAACACTGAAAGCCCTTGCAACGGGTGAGAAACACACAATCCAATTTGTTTGGTAGTAGACCCTTCAACCGCTACATGGAAACACTTGCTAATCTACACAGGAATACTCAAAACGACATGGTTAAGTTTCCTTGGTTTGCACATATTAATGAAAAAATATGCACAACACATCTCAGACAAAGCAATGCACAGACGCCGAGCAAGCATTTTTTACACCAGACATTTCTTGCGATGATGGTGAGATAGTCTTGATGAATGATTGCACACAATCATTGCCCAAACAGATGGTACCTACAAAACGGCCTCCCTTCAGTTGTTCACCGGAGATGCCATGACCAAAGCTTTGAGAACATCTTCGAAGCTGTCTCCAATGTTGACACGGTATGCATATTCGTAGAGATCACCATCCTCCACGGTGTCTTCAGGAGTCTCAGATGATGAGGCAGCGGCTTGGAAGCAAAGGCGGCCATAGCGTTCACGGAGAACTCACTTTCGATGTCATTCGAATGGAAGCCAGTCTTGGAATCACGCCAACCAATGGAATGGTTCACTGGAGGCGCAGATTTGTACCAAGGCAGTGATAGCAGCGGAAGAAGCTTTCCATGAGTCGTGCACGAGGAAGGCCTTCTTGGAAACGCATCTCATCAAAGCATCTTTCATAGACGCTGTGCCACGAGACTTCCCATCTTTGGCAATAGCAGGCTGCGGCAAAAGAGTGAAGCTGAAACGTTTCAGTCCATTGCCATGTGTGTAGCAAGTACGCTTGTTGCCAACCAGCACAGCAGCAAAGAGCCACCTACCATGAGCTCTGGTATCCTTGCTGGTTCCAGCCTTTCCCTTGTTGAAGACAGACTTCATGACAGAAGCAGGTTTCTTGAAGACGGCAACAGGTTTTGGAAGAGCAGCGGCAGGCTTCCGAAGAGCAGCGGCAGGCTTCCGAACAGCAGCGGCAGGCTTCCCAAGAGCAGCGGCAGGCTTCCGAAAAGCAGCGGCAGGCTTCCGAAGAGCAGCAGCAGGCTTCCGAAGAGCAGCAGCAGGACGACGATGAAGGGTTTGAGCAGGCAATCGTTTCTTGATGACGGAAGACACCTTTGACCTTGTCGTTGCCCTTGCTGAAGAAGAAGACTTGGAAATGCCGCGGACGCTTCCGAGATTGGTTTCGTCAAAGACAACAACATCCCCAGCGGCATTTCCAATTACCATGCTGCCAGCTTTGTCCAAGTATCTTCTTAGAACATCTTGATACAGGTTCCTCCATGAAGGCAAAGTGCGGGTCACACCAAAGAGGGTCTCAATGTCGGTTTGGATTTTTGTCCACCTATAGTTCAATCTCATTGCGTTAATGAAGTAGATGAAAGCCACCCAGTTGGAGAAATGGACATTGGACAAGACGCCAGCTGGACAGAGCGCAGCTCTGAAGCATTTGTGGCCCCGGACAGCGCACCTCCAGCGGAAACGAACTTTTTGGTCACCATCCCATTCTTCAGCCAGCTTCACCGTGTGATTCTTCACGTTTGGGCATTTGTGTAGCCAAGGGACCAATCCCAAAGCGCTAGCCACAAGAATGCCACGAAGTGCAACGGTATCAGTCAGATCTTCTTCCAGAATGAGTGGAGGCGCCAGAACTTTCAAAGATAGAGAAGCTTGAGATACAAACCATTCTTCTGACACTGCAGACTTGTACTCCTTGATGGTAGATATTGAAGTTAGTGAGCTACAAGCAGATGAAACGTATCCATGTACCAGAATTGCATGACAGATATGTGTGGCATGACAAACATATCTATATATATATATATGGGCTCGGACTTATCTAAGTATGCGAAGATATGGTTTATAAACTATAAGGCTAGTTTATAAACCATACTTGGAAATAATGATTATCTTATCTCACAGGGGGCCCCCAAATCGTCACGAGCCCATATATATATATATTATCATTACATTAAGTTACATTACATTACACACATTACAAACATACTTACATGCCAACATTACATTATACTACATTACTTCCTTATAAATTACATAATACATACATTACAATTACTTACTTGCATACATGCATGCATCCATCCATACATGCATACATGCATACCATTGCACACCATTATATACATACCATATCACCATTACGTTCCGTTGCATGCAAGCACCGCACAAATTACATTACATCATTACATTACACTATATTGCATTGCATTGCATTACGTTACATACTTACATACTTACACACATGAAAGCATGCATTAATTTGTTGTCTTTCAATCATATTGTTACTCTGTAACTATATACACCACCCTTTATTTAGATGTCTTATGCATCTGACCACTCTTACTCCAACGCGAACCTCTCCTTCGTGGGCCTCTGCGATGGCCTCCAAGGTGCATACATCTTTGAAGGCTTCCTCGTCCTGTGCCCAGCGACTCGGCTCCGGCAACAGCTCGACTCCGATGGTGCCGAGGTTTCGGGATGACGATCTAGACACCCCAGCCATGGTCACAGGACCCATGGTTGTCCACCTTTCTTCTGGTCCAGCCACTGGGCGTTTTCGGCCAAGAAGAACCTCGGGGAGTCCCCGGCACCGGGCTATACCCTCTACGACCGCGTGCATGTACGGGGGTGACGTCGTGGGGTGACGTCTGGATACCTCACATGGCGCACTTGCGCGTACTTGAGCGCATCGAAAATGCACCTCACATTGTCATCTTGATGACGTGTTACCTTGGTCCTTGTTCCGACAGCCACTCCTCTTCGTGACTTCCCTTTCCTATATATGGTCCTGTAGAGTTCTTGACTTCTGCATTTTTGTTTGTAGAGGCTGTATCGGCGGTTTGATTCCTCTAATTACTGGTGAAGCCTAGGGGATCCCTACCGAGTATGACGAGTGTTGCTGGTTTTGGCCGCGCGAGACTTCCAAGGGCGGCTGTCCAATGCTCGGACATTCCTGCATGGAATCACTGCTACCCTGGAAGCCCTGGAATGGCGCTTTGCAGAAGGCACATCAGAGATCTGTTTGAGACCAGTGCGGTGAACCTGTACTTTTTGTAGACACCACCCGCGGAGCCCTGGTGCTTGGTGGGAAGATGGCCTTGTTTAGCGGGCTCACGATGCCTTTTGAATTGCATCCGCTTAGGCTTGTGGCGTCGGCATAGCTTGTGTTTCTACAGTCGAAGGAAGGCTCTTGCGGAATGCAAGTTGCACTCAGACAAGCCACCACTACTTACAGGACCGCGGGGGGGTTGAAGGGGTGAAGTGTACTCTTCCCCGACCATGAATTCATTGGGCCAGTTGACGAACTTCACTGGATGGCCCAACTTTCGGTGGTGGCTGTAGCCGGATCGTTGCTTTCGGTGAGGGCGGCTCGCTTCGCACCCGGATCGGAGGAAAAACGCAAATTCATTGGGCTCATCACCCAAAGAACACATAGAACCACAGAACCACTACTGATGATAATATATATATATATATAATAGATAAAAATAGAACAATAACCATAGAACATAGAACAATTCATTATTCCATAATATGCCAGATAACACATAGAACCACTACTTACTCCTAGTCCAAGCCAGGACCCACCTCAATGGACTTCTCATAGGTCTCGGGCAGCTGAATGGCATAGACACCGATCAGCCGGTTGAGGCTGTCCCCTGAGATCTGCCGTGGACTCTTCCCAGACTGTCTTGAGACCGAACTCTTCCAAGCCAACGGGGGTCGGCCCAAATGGTCGGAACCACACCATGAGCCTTCGAATGGGTTTGCCTCCCACCATTCCAACAACACCAAGCCTGAAAAGGCCATGCATGGACCCAAGTGGTAGCTCTGCCCCAAGTGTCCCCAAGTGGCTCCCGCAGTCAGCTAGCCAACTCACGGCCACTTCGGTCGCTCCGGCCCATCCTCCGGCCAATTCATGAAACATGTCTCAGTTCCTTTCTTCGCACTCCCTTCAACTCGCCCCCCCAAATCTGCCCCATTTGCACCAGTCATCTCGGAACCCTCCGGCCAGGCCCGGAGAAGCCCGGTGGTGGGGGATTTGGCCGGGCCACGGATGCCGGTGGCCAGGAAGGAGGCCAAACAACCGTCGCAAGCGCCATAAGCCTCAGGAGGGGCATAGCCTCAGTTGATCGAAATCCATCGAACAACCGACCGAGAAAAAGAGAGATCCGCCGGTCTGCTTGGGGGCACGGAGCGATTAAAGTCCACAGTCTTTTTTGGAGGGCTTGGGGGCGGAGGCGCGCCCTCCAGCGCTGGAGAATCCAGGGCTCTGGCCCTACGATGCCCAAAGTGAGGCAAGGCAAAAAAGGTTCTTCATCCACTTTAGGAATTCTTTGGATCAATTGGATCCGGCGCCCACACAACTGGTAGCTGGATCAACTAAAGAGGGGCATAACACCTTGATGGACAACGATTCGAATTGCCCCGCTTGTTGCAAACGTCGATTCCAAAAGCTTCCGCAGGGAATTGAATTACACAATGCCCTTCAAGGTAAGCCGTTCCTGTCCCAAAAGAGCCACTGACCCTACGATTGGAAATTTCCATGTCAAATGAGTCCAAAGCTGCATAGTCTTAGTGTCGCAGCTTCGCTGCCTTCACCTGTTGGCAGTTGCGCCTCAAGTGTCCAAGGTCATTCTATGTATATACATATCCGACATATCCAAGGTCATTCTAAATGCATAATGATCATAATGAATTAAAATGAACTGCACAAATGATCCCAGCGGCCAACGACCCCAGCTGGAAGGCCGACACTGGAGACTCTTCACTCCCATCCCGCGCCGGGCCCACACCCAGGGCCCAACACGCTGGACATGGTGGACGATGGCTTTGGAAGGAAGGAATTTGTACATGGTTGATGGGACAGGATGATGACTTCTTGCATCACAGCATCTCGAAAAACGACACTCCTTTGTTTGGGTAGTTTGGCTCCGTGTTCACCCAGCAATGCACCACAAATGCCTGGATCTGCCAGCAACAATGACAACAAAATCAGTTTGAGATGGTCACCCCTCCAAGCGCAAAAGCCCCCGTGTCCATGTCACAAAGCATATCTAAGCATGCTCCGAGCCCAAACATCCAACCCAGCCTTGTTCTTGTTGTTCGGAGGCATCTGGCTGATGTTATTAGGTGTCACAGGCAAGGGGCTGACGGCATCGGGATTGGCCAAAACTTCGCGGAATGCGCGGCCCAGCCCAGAATCTTTCCTGAAGAATGTTGGAGAGTGCAAGGACGCTGATAGGAACAAGAAGTTGCTAGGGGTTCCTGGCCGTACTACTGGGAGCAATAGGCTACTAGGGGCTCCTGGCTTTCCTGCTAGGAACAAACAAACTAGGGTCTCCTGGCCGTACTACTAGGAGCAAGGACGCCACTAGGGGCTCCTGGCCTTACTACTAGGAACAAGAAGCTACTAGGGGTTCCTGGCCGTACTACCAGGAGCAACTGGCCTTACTACTAGGAACAAAAAGCTATTAGGGGCTCCTGGCCTTACTACGACTACTATTAGGGGTTCCTGGCCGTACTACTAAGAGCAAGCAGCTACTAGGGGCCCCTGGCCTTACTACTAGGAACAAGAAGCTACTAGGGGCTCCTGGCCACCAGGTCTCACGTCTTACACAATTTCAGAAACGGTAGTATCATGTAGTATCCATCTCTGAGAGAAAACAAAGGCTCACAGGATCTCACATCCTGTGAGGTCAGCTGCGTGAGGGATATCACCGCCAACCTTCAAATATGTGAAAATTATACAATCTGTCGTACTATTGAAAAGCATCCCAAGATGCGCAAAACACCTTCCACGGATGTGCCGTTTCCATCGATTTGCCTGCTCCATTTAAGTGACATAGATGCGTCAGTGTCTACAATCCAGTCCAATCAAATCATCCCAATATCTTCCCAAGTCTCCCACCTTACCCTTCCCCAATTACCATGCATTTACAGAAAACGAGTTTACAAGACCTCTTAACATGGGTATACAGTAGGTTCCAAAAAGAAATATCAAGTGTCCAAAACCATCATGAGGAACATTGGTTGCAACATAGAATGCATTGAATGCATCCAAGACTTCTTTCAATGTAGATTGCAACATGATGTGTCCAACCCCCCTTCACCACAAGACAAATAAAGGCACCGGATTCAGAACACATAAGTTCCCGTTCCTAGCAAAAGATTGAAGGATTCAGGAAGGAGTATGAAGGAATGGTTGAAGTAATGCATGAGTCGCAGCAGTGATGGACCAAATCGCAACCCTTTGGGACCTCTTGCAGTCTTGGATGGAGTGTCTGGGTATGGTGTCTTTTAGCTCTTCCTGCGCTCGGCCGTCAAGCGCCAGGACATGCTGAGACTCCAAGGCCCTGTAGAGTCCTCTGCGAAATTGGTCGCAAAGTCTGGCTCCTGCGGATCATTGGTGCCCCCCCCCCACTCGCAGCAGCTAGTGCAGCTAGTGACTCTACACATGGTACTGGCTGTTTTTGGTTGAGAAACCAACTAAACAGCTAACTCGGATTGCGTACTTGCACAGTTGCCCTACAAAAGTGTGTTCAGTAGGGATGATATGGGATGATGCATGCTCGATTTCACGATGTCACTGCTGGGGAGACTGAGGAGGGGGGCTGCAAACAGGTCCCATGAGGGATCTCCTAGTCATAGGAGACCCTTCCTTCGGCTAACCGCTTCCACATGCAACTGGAGGTCACCCGAAGGCTTCTTGCTTAACCTGTCGGGCCTTGTAGACTGAATAGATCATATTTCCATCCAGGTCAAAGAAAAAAATGTCGTAGTAGTTCCTCATGCTCGTGCGAAACGAACGCAAGTCGTGCCAGCATATCGCGGTGATGGCATGTTGTGCCAGCCCAGTGCCGATGACAAGGACGTGAAGGAAACAGATCTGCAGCTAATGAAGCACTGCGTTAGCAGGACCGGCCACGATAGCAGCACTCACAGGGGGTGATTGATGGATACCCCGAATCATCTCTTGCCGAGGCTTTTCCATACAGACCTCTTGGGGTGAAAACATGTGAAAGCATGTCTGGCCGGTTACGGTTATGGCTACGTGGATACCTATTTGTTGTTGCCGGTTATGGCTCATCCCCGCTAGAATCACACTATACCTCATAGCCAACCATAGCACTGCCCAGGGCACCATGAACACACGGGCGGCGGGCTGTTTCACTGTCAGATCTGGTTGATCGGGCGTGACTGTTTCTGCTAGAGATACCCAATGATACCCATGCTTCAAGACCAAAATCTTGCTGGTCCAAACTTTGTGTCTAAACCAGCCCCACTTTGCTTCACAAATAAGCGAACATACTACACATCTCCCAGTGCAAAGCTGCTAGTTGCTAGTTAGTCTTTGGCTGGCCCTCTCGAAGTACCGTACAGCGATTGCTTGTGTGTTCATCCCACCAGGAAGAAGAATCCCAACGTGGTTGCGCCAATGCTCTTTACATTCTTTACAAAGGAATATGTCCTGCCTCAATAGGAATAATAATTATCAAAGTGAGAGTCAAAGTACCAATTCATCAAGTAACATGTAGCCATCCCCCCTCATTCAACGGACACAAGGCATAGCCCCTGTTTTTACCAAGACTCCGCTCGTAGAGCAAAGCGCGATAGATTGGATGCCAGGTTTCGTGCGCGATGTCGTAGCCTGAATCAAAAATAATCTGAGTAATTAGCTCTGAGGTGGAGAAATAAGAGAGAAATCAGCATGCCCTAGGGATCCGCAAACCTTCCCAGAAGGTACTTGGAGCCTCTCTTTGCCGACAAAAATTGCCTTAATTTTTTTGGAACTCCTCCCGGATCAATGCGAAGAGCTTTGAGGCATCCAAGGTCAAAAACGAAAGCCGTCGGAGAAGTCAGGAAATATACCAACGCCCCCCTAAGGGGTGTCTATTAATAGCTCCCTAGAGGTTAAGGGGTATCCATCAACCGCGTCTTTGTTCAGTAATGGTGAATTGCAGTTCCCCATACCACTGGTTTTTCAAGTGCTCGCCCACTAGTGGATGGAGCCATCTGAATGAATCTCAAGGATTGAACCTCATGACTGCCAGGAACAAGAAGTTACTAGGGGCTCCTGGCAGTACTACTAGGAGCAAGAAGCTAATAGGGGCTCCTGGCATCACCTGGCATCGCTACTAGGAACAAGAAGCTACTAGGGGCGTTAAAAATCGTGAAAGTCTACCAGGGGCCGAAAGACTGCTTTTTTGTTGGTTTTGAGTCAAGTTCCCGTGAAGACTGGCTTCCAAGAAAAAAAACATTTATGATCATGTTTGTTGTGCAACTTCAGAATAAATTCTGAGAAGCCTCTGAGTCCTATATATATATATACATATATATATATATATATGTAGAGAGGGAGAGAGCGGGTAGTCATGGGGGGTGAGGTTGTGAAAGTTGTGATTTTGTACGGTTTTTCTCTTTTTGCCCATGATATGACATTGATAGGGTTGTGAAAGTTGTGATTTTGCAAGTTTTTGTTTTGCCCATGATATTACATTGATAGGATTGTGAAACTTGTGATTTTTGTGCTCTATGTGCAGTTGGTAAGCATATTTGTTCATTCAACAATGTACTACAAAAATATTTGTACACACATGTTTGCGATGCGATGATCTCCCGGGACAAAAGCTGCTTTACGCGCTTCTTTAGGCCTGGCCACCTTCAGTGCCTCCAGTGCTCACTGTCCGGTCCCGCTGCTCAGTGACATACAGCTCGGTCAACGCAGTCCTGAGTGAACACGGAGATGACATGCAGGAAACATCACTTGATGGCGAACTCTGATGTCTGTCTGTTATCTTGCCTGCCTTCTTGCTCTTGGTCGGCGGACGATGCTTGGGGCGGCTACTGTAGAGGATATGTTCGATTCAAAGGCTCAAGTTTACCATGGATCATCATGGCGTTCCGCCCATTCGAGCAATGCAAAAGCTACCATCCCCTACTCAGTGGTTGTCCACTGGTGGGCCTCTGAATTGTTGTTTTCTTGGACTATCTTGAGCTCAGTGTCAATTTCCCCTACAGCAAGGAGAATCCTGAAAGGGTGAAAACTGCGGAACGGTTTTCTCAAAGACCATGATCTTCTTGCTCTCAGGCCGCGTCGTGCATCATCTCTGGGTGTCCCTCTTTCATTCGGAAAGCCATGTGCATGATTGATAAGCCCCTAAAAATGGCCACGCGCCAAAGAAGCTTCATAATAAGCCAAGTGCTTTTATTCGGGGTCAAGACTTGAGGTCTCTTGCGAAGAGATCAACACCTTATCTATTTCTTAATGAACTAATAGGGACGTGTCCTACCTCACTTTCTGGCTACCTTCCGAAAAGCTATCATGAAAGTGGATGGAAGTGGGACATAGGCCCTCGGAAAACCGATGCCCATGTTCATCAATTTGTCCTCTAGTCGGAATTTCTGCCCAGCATCTATAAAATTGTCTGGGGAGAGAGGTGTGTGTATATATATATAATTTGTATATACATATGATTTACACATATTGGCATAACTCTTAGCAAACGGTCGGACCAAGGGTTAAGCAAAAACGACGGCCGGATCAAATGTTTACTTCATACGTATAACTCCATTCACTCGACCGTCTCGTATCTCGGAGCCGAAACGAGTCGAAGGCCATCGAGCACCATGCCGGGTCTCCTGGTCTCCTCCAGCGTCGGTCGGAAGCTGTCCCAGCCATTCCTCGCGAGGACGCTCTCCATCGGTCGGATCGACCGGGCGACCAGGGAACTGATCTGATAAGACCCAAAAGACTGATCTGGAAAAAATCCTACTCAAACATGTCAAACTAACCTTTAGCCAAATCATATATGAGCAATAGTTCAATAGCATCCCATGCTATCATGCTTCCCATGCTATCATGATTGCATCCGTTTCGGCCTCAACACCGGAACCCCACCATCTCACTATTGGACAGGAGGGAAGGAGGGAACACAAATGTACAACGGTCTGGCCACGAGGGTCGCAGCAGAATGATACAAGCAGAAAAGTCGTTTCACCATGACCCCACCACCATCAGCACCCCATGCCCATGCGTCGCCAAGCTTGTCTCCAGGGTCCATCGACCCAAAGGCAAACATCTCGGATACACTCCCTGGAATCATCACGGAAGTGGATGGCACATGGCCATGGCCATCCAAGTAACCATGATGATGCCAGGGTACTGTACATCGATGTTTTCCTTCCGAGCATCTTGAGATCCCCAAAGGCGTTCACCAGTTGAAGACTTCGAGCAGCCTCCAGGAGCCACTGCCTGGCACCATCCATCGAACATGTTTCTTCATATATCATACATTGACTCATCTGTCGGAATCCACACATGTGACCCCAGAAGGTCATGTTACATGTTCATCATTCTCCTTGTAAACGTTTTCCACTTCCATGTTGATCATGTTGGGCCGCCATTGATGAGCGGTTTTGCTCAAAAGATCTCAAAAGGAATGATTCAGTTTAGTGGATGCAAGCCTTGCAAAGCTTGTCTTGATCACTGCAGCTGATCCGAAAACGACAGGACTTTGGCTGGCGAATTGGAGGGTCTTCCAGCTCTTACATCGCTTGGAATCTTACATCGCTCTCCCCTCCAGCCGGCTGCTTCCTCTTCCTGATACGCCTCCGTGGTGGAACCGGATCCGGGATCCGGGTGGCGTGACCTCTCTCATTCCGAACGTCACGGTGGAAACCCGCCGTGTCCGCCTTTGGAAGGAGGTGGCTTGGTCAGATCTTTTCCACCACTCCGCCCTGAGAGAGAAGACCGGCGACGAGTGCGGCGAGTTCGGCGACTGGATCACCCAGTTAGGTACCTGGGTTCGGCAGGAGAGTCGATTCAAGTGCCACGCATCTTACAGTTGATCTATGAGCAGGAAAACTGGATCACTCGGGTGGTCGCTCCCTCCGGCCCCAAGGTCAGGGGGTTGAATGGTCGTTGCCTTCCATGTCCTCTCCAGATCCTTCGGACCATTCAAACAAATGGAATTCACCATTCTTTTTTGACTTAGGATTGCGCAGGTGAGCAAATGGTGCAAACCACACTATACCGTACTATACCAAAGAATCATTTTGGAGCACCCTATATCAATCTGCAATAACCTCGAAAGAGATAAAAAGCATCCTGAAAGGACTTTGTTAAACACCTGACCTAGGTGAAATGGCATCAGAAACTAACCTGAAAGAAGGTAGCAACCCCAAACAGCAACCCCAAATAACCTCGGATCCACTAACATGAAAGTGGAAAACCCCCTGGTCGTAAAGGAAAGTATAGTCTGCCAAATGGACCATTTTCCACTTCAATGTTAGTGAGTCAGAATCCAAACCTTTGCACAACTTTTCCAGTTTCCATATGTTTTTCCTGCACTAGATATCAAAAGGTTGGTCGAAGCTGCACCCAACCACGACACATGACAAATGGGGAGCTATAGATGCCGAAGTAGCCACTGCATTCTTCTCACTTCATCTCAACTTCATATTTCTGAGCGAAGACCTTAAATTCTCGAGGCCTAGTCCGCGGTGGTGGCCCCGTCCCTGGCCGAGTTCACCTTCGGAAGGTCCTGAAGAGCCACCGCCGTCGAAGTCACACGCATGCAAACGTCACGCTTGCATCCGAGGCTCCTGCGGGAGCCTGTGGAAATCCATGTCAAACCCCTTTGCAGCCTCGCGTGTCGATGCGAACATCTGGTAAGCTCGATCCCTTTTGGCGCTCGAAATGTCGCTCCAAACTTCTAACTATCAATACCCACCTTGTAACGATGCATGATGGCCAGCAATGGGCTATGCAGTGGGGGCAGTCCCCAACCCCCTTCGCTTCACCGGTCGCTTCGGCAGTCGGACCCAAAGCTGGGGTCAATGACTGAGCTGTTGGGCCTCCGGCCATTCCCAAGCGCTCCTTGTAGGCAAATATGGCCTACATCTGGTATCTTTTGGTGGTGAAAGTCGACCATACTGGCTTACATGGAGCATTTGAATTGATTTGAAGGCCTTTACCGAGCAGGTCCAACATTGTCCAACCTTTCTTGAACGGTCTTGGAAGGCTAGGGAATGGATCTATGTTTTTATATGCGTATAACTATATATATAGACATATATATATATATATGTGCAACTAACACACACACACACACTCACACATATGTACATTTGTATATACAAACTGGTCTTGAAATATTAGCAGGCTTACCACAAGAAGAAACCTACACCATACCAAGGGTAGCGAAGGGTTTTGACATGGGGAACTGTGACAACTGGATCAAGACAAGTCACCCCTCGCTGATTGATGCACAAATGAGCTTCCTGTAGAAAGTCTCATCGCCCAAGACGAAGAGAACACGCTCCGAGCCTGGCCAGGAGCCCCTAGTAGCTTCTTGTTACTAGTAGTAAGGCCAGGAGCCCCTAGTAGCGTCCTTGCTCCTAGTTGCGATGCCCTTTGCTCCTAGTAGCTATTAAAGCGTCTAAGTCTGGTTCACCTTCAACCTCTTCATGCAGAAAGGCGGGGGCTCACGAATGGGAAAGGATGGAAAAGGACATTTCAACGGAACGACGTGCCTCCCTGCCAAACAACTAATCTAAAGGTGAACAACTTACAGCATGCTAAAATGGTGGGGTCTGGGTCATCAGGTCCAAGCAACAGCACGTGCTCGAGGGAAAATAGAACTGTTGGGGCATCTGCCAGCTGCCATTATTCCACTGGTTTCCATTGTCTCGATGGTGAGCACCAACCGGGCTTCGATCCATCGTGAGAAAGTCTTGATCTTGGCATCTTGAGGAGCCACCGGCTGAGCAACCGACCCATTCCAGTCAAACAGGTGCCTTGAGTTTGTGCCTTGATGGTCCTCATCACAGTCCTCAGTGCAAACATCTGCAAACGTAAGGGTGGTGCACATGTCTTTCCTGACCGCTACCAAAAAGACCCAAGAACAGTGCTGTTGTCCGTCCTGCGATTGCACCGCACTTCCTCCATCTTCCTGAGAATCTGTGATGCATCTGACGAATATATATATATATATAATGTTCTCCTGCGAGGATCCACACCACCTGATCATGCACCTCATCACACCAAGAATGGATATAGAATTGTCAACACTTCATGGGACTGACATGTTTACCTACAATAATTAGGGTGGTTTCAGGGGTCAACATCGGTATATATGTCTATATATAATTAATGGACACATCACCAGCAGTGTCCAAATTGAAAGGCCAGACATCTCGGATGTTTTCGCTCGTCCCAACGACGTCCCAACGACCCGAGTCCCCGCCGACGGTGCGAGCGACAGGATGTCCGCCATGCGTGATTCCAGTGCGCTCAAGTGTTGTGTCTGCACCCCGATTCGTTGGAAGAGTTCGGCCTTGGAGTTCGAGCCAAGGCGAGAGGAGCCAAGATGGATTATCAGCCCGATCCCAAAAGGCTATGAGTCTTATAAATCACCATTTTGGTACGAGCCAAGAGTCTCGAAGGTGCAAAGTCTGAGCTTGTTTGGGTGGTGAGAGCTGGCACAACCAAAGAAATATCGAAGCGATGCCCGCTATTGCATTGCATGTATGGAGAAGAACGCCAATGAGTCATATGGCTAAACTTAACGACCCCAAGCAAACTAAACGATATCCTATTGCTGGAATGTCACACACCAGCCACTCCAATCGCAATTCGTAGCATTCCAAGGTGCTTGTGCCCAAGGCTTGTGCACCATACTCGTCCATCCAATGTGTTTAAAAGGTTTGGAGGTGGTGATTCGCGCAACAGGCAAAGTACCTATGTTACATGAAGTTACCCTCCTGCAGATTCAACATGGACCCCCGAAACCACTGTGAATGTGCGGGGGCTCGTAAGCGGGGGATTCATTGGCTCTCTCGACCACGTCAGCGGGTGACGGTTTTTCACGGTAGCCGCAGAACCGCACGTCGATGCAAAACCAAAGCCCAAGCCTGGACAGATTCTCTGGCTTTGATGAGTTCCTATGGTTTCCTTCCAGGTACTAAGTTAACTAAGAAGCAAAAACAACTTTAACAACCAAAACATGTTTCCGTTTCGTGTTTTATTGCTGTGCATATGCCAAGCATGCATTTTGATAAATGCGTAGTTTAACCCATCAACCAACTAGAATGTATCCAAAGCAAGCGGGCCAGTGTGCTAGCATCCTCATCGCTCAGAATGACATGCTCGTCAGGGACAGCAACGACACTCTGCCACGAGTGCCCAAGAGTAACCTCCGTCACCTTTCAGTGTTGCTGCCATTGGCAACCAACAACGTATATGCGTATTATTGCTCCTGCAAAGCAAAGCTCTTTCCAATTCTTGATCAAAGTGGTTTCGCACGACACGATTTGTCACGCGCGCACACACACACTCTCTCTCTCTCTCTTTTTCTCAACTGTCCAACATCGTCCCAGAAAAACACCCCTGACTCAACCAGTTCGACCGGCAGCTGAGTTGACTCATTTAGGATCTGGCTTCACTTACCTGGTTTCATCTAGTCCCCTATATATATAGAAACGGTGCCCAGTCCGCAATATTAGAGGGATTGACATTGAATCCATTGGCTTCGCTGGCTCTACTACCATACTACCCCACTGGCAGATTCCCTTCTTCCAAGCCGTCAAAAAGAAACACCTTATGGCATTCAAGGTGCATAACGCTCCACCTCACTGCTGTACACTCCCGGATCACCTAGGGAGCCAGGTTTTGGCCCGAGAGCAGCAACTCCAAGGCACGTTTTTCATGGAAGTGGAAAAGGCACCGTTTCAAGAAGAACTGTGCGTAGTTCCAAGTGCCCAGCCATCCACATCTATGTTTCTTTCTGAGAGATCTAGGAGTGTGAATGTCAGTTTGCTAGAGAAACCAGCCTGCAGGGTGTTGAAGGTTCACCAGCGTCTGGGCAGGATACGAAAGATATATATATATAACTATGACTATGCCGATCTATACCCACTATATAATTACCACTTATATACCCCACAATTGAGTTCATGTGGTTGGGTCACGCCATCCACTTTCATCTCCCGGAAACTTAGTGACTTCCTCCTAAACCAGCACCTGCGCACCACCCCCTTGAATGGGCCAGCATGCTTGCGCTCGCGGCCACATCACCACAATACTGCGTGGCACTGCATCAAAACCCCATCACTTGACCTCCTTGTTTTGATAGGACAACGTCCATATTTCGACTAGTTGATCCTCAAAACAGGGGTCACTCAGTCTAAGGCGAATGCACACGAATCAACGGAGCTGCGAAACCGCCGACCGTTCAGCGCCGGACGGACGTGCCCATGAGGTCCCCGCCGGAGACGAGGAAGACCGTCTGCCAGCCATGCTTTTCCTGGCGAAGGGGCCCGTTCGTTCGGGCGGTTCCGCTGCGGCCGGTGGAACTGGAAGAAGAGGGTTCCGATGCGGCAAAGGGTTCCAGAGCGCTGCCATGTGTATCGGTGGGAGCGCTGTGTATCGCAGCTGGGCTGCCTTGATTCATGTTCAGTCTATCCAGAAGAAACAATGTCCATAACGTCCATAACCTGTCCAAATGAGTGCTTGCCCAAAGCCCAAACACAAAACCAATTGAAAACAACTTGAAAACCAAGTTCAGAATCAGGACCACAAAAACCTCTCCCCAGTATGGTCTAGTTATTTACTCTCCCCAGTTCACACATGACAACTTACAGGGGGCAGGAAACGACATTTTCTCTACTGACATGACTTGCTGGCTCGAGTGCTTAGCACATAAGTGGTTCCCAACATCTCGTTCTCCCCTACTAGGTGACCCCCAATTCGACCATCTTCACCAAATTCAGGCACATAACAGCCTCACGTTCGAACTCTGACAAAGTCGAACCTGACCCTGGAAAACGATTCCCCTCCCAATTGTTTTTGAGGTTCCATGTGGAGATGGTACCTACTAGTAGGGTCCAAATGAGCGGGTTCCCCAGTGCTGATATGAAGGTTCCGCAGAAGAACCTTCCGCAGTTGGAATCCACAAAAGTCTGCTGTATTGCCCAGGGTAGTTCAACATATAGTTCAACAAAGAGCATTCATATTCAGTCGAGTTTGGCTTGGTGGGAGGACTCCCATGAAAGGCAGCAAAAACCCGTGCCCCTTCAGCCCACGTGGTTCGGCCTTCAACTTCAGCATGATCTCCTCCATCTGGTTGGTGCCCGTGGGCGTTCCCATCCGCAACAAGGAGGGGAATTCGACTTCATTGGAGAACTCCTGGCTAGGACAGTTGAAGCTCAAGAAGGGCAACCTCAGTGTCAATGAAGCTGAGGACAGGTGCCATGTCCGATTTCCATCGATTTCCCATGTCGGAGAAGAAAAGCATTTCACCCTGCTTACACATGTCTTAGTTCTGGACCAAAACGTGGTGTCGTCTCACTGTTTTCCGATGGTAACACCCCCATTTCAAGTGACGACCGGGCCGAGATTCGTCCGCTTTCCTGGGGCGAAACATCGCGCCGGAGAGGCCGACCCAACGGTCCCACTCGGTTGCCAAACGAATGGGGAAACGGTTGACAGGTTATAGTGGGTGCACATCACCTGCAGGCGTTAGGAATAGAGTAGGTAGGTCCTATACAGGAAACCAATCGAAAGATAGGTTTTGAAGGAAACCGATCCTGACTGGGTAGGGTTCATGCCAGAGTTTGGAAGATTGCGGCAACATTCTGCATCAGAGCTGGGTATCAGTTTCTTCGGTGCAAGTTGCGCTAGTACCCACAGAGCTGGCTGATTGAGGTACAGTGATCACACATCGAAGTCTTGCAGTACAATGGCCTTTCGGAAATAGGAGGGAAGCATGAATACTTTAATTGGACTACTTACATACATGAGCGCATAAAATCATGGAAAAATGACGTTGGAAGCACCAGCCGAAGCACGGGGCCCCGTCTCCCGAAACGAGTGCAGTCGCGCGCATGTCCCGTTGCGCTCTGACTCACACTTGTCCCAAAGGCCAGTGTCCACTTCCACGTCCTAAAAGAACAACATGGCACCATAAAGACAAGCCCAAACAACGAAGCCGTGGTGTCCCAGGCCAGTGCTGTCTCCGCCGCTACGTCTTTCTTCAGTTCGCTGCTTACCTGCCGCCGCTTCCTTTGCCGCCCAGAACCGTCCCAGAACCACCGGCAGAGCCCGTTCCAGGTCTGAGAAGCTGGAATGAAGAAGAGAGGGTGGACACTTGTTGACACACGCCGTCGCACCCCATGCCGGTCAACCTGACAGGCGAGTCAAACACCCGGTCAACCTCCGGCAATATGGCGACGAAGCCAACGAAGCCAAAGGCCAGATATGGCGAGATCAAACGGAGATCATGTGGACTGAGCAAAGACTAGATCCCCAGGGCTTCTATCTTCCAAGTTGATCTCAGCAATGATCTAAGACTAAGACTAAGAGTTTCTTCAGGGGAGGATTCTGTGACCTGTTGAGGGGTGGTTCAGCCAAATACGACCTGGTGGTTCAGCCAAATACGCTCATGAAACAAAATGCCTGCGTCATCTAAAAGGTTGATGAGCTTCTTTAAGCTTCTTTCCGCTTTTGGCAATTCATCTGTCAAGCAGAACTCGCGGATTTGTTTCGGTCTTCTTACTGGGTTTCTCATTTCGAACCCTGTTTGCCGGGGCAGGCAAATGCACGGGCTCCCAAAAATTGCTAGAGCCCAACCCCGACCAAACGAACTGGGCAGGCATTTCTACAGTAGGTCTCACTGCTGCAAATCCAGCCATTGATCAAACCCCCGCGCCGCGTTTTGCCACTTCTTCACCTCGTTCCGAACAGCTTCCTCATCTGCCCCTGTCAGACAGGGTTTGGGCCCATGACCTGAATCCTTGGATCCAGTGTCTAACACAGACCAGACACCCAACATAGTTCCCTTTGGACACCATGGCGGAGACCACCACGTTGGCGCCCCTGCGGCCCTCGCACTGGTCGTCCAGGATGGTGTGCCTGGGGCATCGGAGATGGCGAGACCGCTTGGCAGCCCTGCGATAAGGGGGAAACATATATCTCTACCGTCATACCTTTGGTGCGTTTGATATCTTTTGATGTTCATACGTACTACAATACACCTGCAACTAGTACTGTATCTATCTATATATTCTTGCTGCCATGGACCGTAGTTATATCTAGTTATCATTTTTTGGAGGCTTATGGCATCTTATGGCTTAAAAAAGAGACATACATCCACCAGGCAAGAAAGTTCGGAGGCAGCAGCAAGCACACAACCAGCAAAGAACGTGAAAGAACCACCTGGAGCCTCAAAGTGTTTCAGAACATAGGTACACCCTGTTTCCATAACAGGGTCATGTCCCATTTTCGTACCTTGGAGGGTCCAGTGACGACGATGGCAGGAAAGGAACCGAAAAACGGCTTGGCCGTTCGCGTGCTGCGACCGGCCCTTCGCGCTCTCACACACTGGGAACGGCCCTTCGCAAGGTTCGTGTGGGTCCAGCACCGCAAGTGGTCGAGTTGCTTCAGCTCATATCCGGGCAGAATCAACCTAGGGCGACATTGTGGAACATGTCCACGGCCCGATGGCTGTCCCAAAACCAAAGGTGCCGGTAACATGAATCAGCTAAAAGTTGCTCCATGTGAGGATCGAAAACATCTATGCAAAAAATGCTAGATCCTTGGCATATTGTTATATAATATTATTGCAATATTTGTTGAAATATAATTATACTGAATGGACAAGCGCCTTTCTGGCGGGGCGTTGGGATATGAAACAGTACAGTTTGTGCTTAGTATTACACCCACGTGGAGCAGCAAAAGAGCTTTCGGTGTCTGCATGCCAAACAGGGAGCCAATTAACACCATCCCCAAGCATACCACCACAACCACCAATTAAGCAAATACCATTGCCCCATTGTTTCAGCACCTCATCTCGCCGTTTCCATCTGCGTTCTCATGCGCAAAAACAGCACCGTTCCCAACACCGCGGCCATGTAGCTGGTCACGGTTGATCAAGAATTCCGCGAGTCGCAGGGCCGTTCGAAAGGTGCTTCCGGCCGACCAGTGTCCCGTCATCGGCACTGGGGATAAAATATCCACAACCATCAAGGTAGTTGTGCGCGTGACGGTGGAGACAGACCTCGGCAAAAATCTGGAAACAGTGGGTGTGCAGTTTAATAGCGAGACCCCTAATCATCAATGAATGTTGGTCCAACTCCTTTCTTCCAGAGCGTTCCATTTCAAAACACACCCACACGGGAAGCAGCAAGAGACAGGAAAGCATGCAATGTCAAGGACGGAACTGCCCCATCCTCCTCCAGTTTAAGAAATCCAAAATAATGTAGTAGACTCTTGATGGCTCAAAACCCCCGACGTGTGGTTGTATAATATGTATATATATATATATGGTTGCAATACCCGTAGTGATAATATAACTAGTCTAGCAAGAAGCTAGTAGCTTGGAGGCCATCACTATTAGGGGGAGGCCATCGCAACTAGGGTGGAGGCCATTTCTACTAAGTAACAAGAAGCTGCTTGAGTATCCTGAGTAGAGTTCCCCAAACACTCGGGTTCTCCGCTCACGTTCCGTCCTTCCGCTCGACCGAGCGGCTCCAAGAAGTGCTCCGTCGCCGCCTGTGGAGACGAACGCGTTCGGCGGATCCCCAGGTGCTGCCGAGGTCCTGGGGTTCCATGGTTTTCCTCCAGGTGCTGCCGAGGTCATTTGAGACATGATTTGTTTGCGTCCTGCCTGACCGATGGACCGGAAGGACATTCTGAGCATGTGGAAGTCGTGTTTTGCATTTGGGAGTGAAGGTCGGTCGCACTTCAAGGATGTGCATCCATCATCAATTCCTGGAGCCCCAACGTGGCATTTTGGGGTTGACGTGGGGTAAGTGTTGGTCTTCACTCACCAACCAGTGTTGGCAAAGTGCGTATTATTATGTTTTATATTGTTTTATTCATGTTGCATTTGCTGTGATTTACTTAAGGACAGTTCCCCGCAAACAAACGCCCGGACTGGACCTTTGCCTACCCTCACTGGTGCTGCCTTTGGCTGCCGGTTAGCACAAACAGCGGCTACTACTTTTCCTCATCGGCCATCGCATCAAATTACCATTGAAACATAATGAAACTGAAAGCACTACCATCTGACAAACTACACCCTCCTCAACTGAGAGTAGACCTGGACGTGGGCCACAAACCCACTGACACCTTTTTGGTGTCATCGGGGCGTGGTTTTTGGTAGTGATTGTCCCAGTTTTGAGTGAAGGCGTCAGTATGGGCGTCATGGTTGTGAGTGAAGGTGTGCGTTTTCCCGCTTTGACTTCTGCTTTTTGATGCTTTTTTGCATTGTGGATCGCCAAATTTGAGCCCAAACACAACTCTTGAGACCCAAAGGCTTTGAAACCGACTCCCCCCCAAAAAAATACTTACTTCATCTTACTTCAACTTCAACCCTTTGCATTGTATTGGCCACTGGAGATCAGAATAAATGTAGCGCTGTCCAGTTTGCACAGTGCAGTGATAAGCATGCCATGCCTTTTCCGAGGCATGGAATCCTTCCCTTTCATGGATGTTGTGCCAAACGCTTCCTGCAGTTGAGTACACATCAATTGTTGGTTGGTGCAATATTTAGGTCGCCCTGTTGACTAGAGTGCAATTGTTGGCAAGCTCTGAACTCTCGTGAATGTGTTCGTTGTTTGAAGCTTGGGGAGGAGCCGGAGCCACAAACTGATCCAACTGGGCCAAACCGCGACATGCTGTACCCTCCCCAATTCGCAAACATGGGACACTGCTGCACACCTGCGTTCACGCCTGAGAAGGATCAACCTGCTGATAAAAACCTTCATGTTTACCAACTCCGGTGAAACCTCCTTCCGTTCGCACACCGGATGATCAGATCCGTACTGGGAACCGTCGAACGAAACCGAGCGGCCGCAGTCTCGTCCACCAAGTCCATGTACTCTTTCAAGGTGCTCTCTGGCACCTCCCTGGAAGGCTCGGCTCGAAAGCCGAAGTCGGAGCGGAACCCGGAACCCAGACGTTGATGGTGGTTGACCCGGCGAAGACGATGTGGTAGGGGTGGAACATGGAGCGTCTGGGATTGGTCTGGGGGGTCCCTGGAGTTATCAGCATCGGAATCTCTTCATGGTTCGGGTGGGACCGCCACCGCATCGGGTGCACTAGCCACACTGGGACAAACTCCAGCCGTGCTGGGGGGGGGGAATGCATGAGCTTGGCTGGGCTGGATGAGGCCACTCCGCCTCTCAGGTCATTGATTCATCAGGTTGGCAAGTTGGAAAACAGGAACTTGGTTCTCATGGAACACACCAAACCCTCTGTATTAGTCCTAGCGTCAATGGCCCATCATTTTAAGATCAAGGCCAATTGGACAAACTCAGTTTTGGAACTCAGGAACTTGCAGTGTTGTTACAAGATCGACCTAGAAACGAGTGGTAATTTCTTGAGGTGGCTAGGTGGAGGGGCAAACTCCTGGAACCAAAACACCGATCACGTACCATTTCCCCCCTGCAGGTGGTCCCCAAAACATCCCTGGCCCCACCATCAACAACTCATGCTCAGGTGTCACGAGTCCACGGAGGGAGCCATGACCCAACCGAGCCAGGGCTTGGAAGGCCACGGTGCGGGTACACTGCACGACGTCGTTCGAATTTGTTGCTCCCAGGAGCGTCATATCGATGAGTTCCATGAGCTTGGATTTCGTCAAGCTCCAGCTGTCCTGTCCGTGGCGACATGACAACATGAGTGGCTGTTTGCACCTGAGACAAGCCTGCCAACGGATGCCAACGGCATATCCGCGGAAACTGTGCGACTGTGATGAAGTGTGGCAGAAACGAACCTGGAGGCATAATATGATTTGTGAGAGGCTTTATATACCTTCTTCACGTCAGGTTTTGTTGGCGTCTCCACCTGGATCCACAGATATAGAGACGTCCGCAGGTCTGAAATGGAAGTCCAAGCCACCGACACAGTGTTCAGCATGGTCACACCCGCAATGTTGGAGAGACTGTCGATGTCAGTCCTTGGCAACAAAAATGCCCATGGCAATTGAAAAAGGGGCTGAGTCTCTCAGTCTCCCCTGGTGTGCCAAATCGGGCCACTGGAGACAGCCAGGCCAACCAGCTGTCGCAAGTTAGCGGATCGAGACATTTTCCAGAGACCGACCACGGGACGTCGTGGGGATTTCCAGAACCTTCGCTTCTCCATGCAAATGAAAAATCTGCACGTCCCCAGAGACAAGGCATGGACCATCCCAAAAGTCAGTGTATCTCAGAAAAGTGTCTCTGGACTATACCTGCGAATGGGGCGCACATGGTTATCTCAGCCCTCATGTTGATTTGGATGCCGCTCATAGGTCGTTTTGGTGGGTTATTTGGACTCTCATGAACCTCCAAAAATCATCAACACTGCCGAACACAGTGTGCCCAGCTTTAGGCCAACAAATCTGGCCCAAGTGGTGTCAATCATTCCCAGACCAGTGTTCGGTAATTAGGCCACATCTCTCCTGACGAAAAATTAGGCTGCAAGACTTACTGAGATTTCCAGAAGAGTGCAAAATAGTGAGTGTCTCAAAATAACTGTATGATAAAGGATCATGATTATATATATATAAGTAGTTGAAGACATATCATATTTATATATGTCTATACATCCATCAAAACATCCAAAATTGTATTCTAATTCACCCATCTCGAGCTACGGTGAGGCTTTAGCATGGCCTGCGGGTGTTCTTTTCTCCGTGCTGAGTCGCTTGTTGTCTCTGGCTAGTCGTCGAGTGCGACCCATCAGCAGCACCTCAAATGCCAAACTCACATTTTGGGTTGGGGGATCATGATGAAAATGACGATCATGATTCATGATCATAGTGCCATTAACTGAGCGAGAAAACAACATGAAACAACCGCATGTCAACTTGCCCGTACTGCTACCACTGAAAATGTATTGTATCTGTATCTGAGGATTTTGTTTGGTAGCCCGAGCTGCCAGTCCATCTGCCTTCGACCACATTAGGTCCAAACAGTCCATTAGGCGCAATTTGTATTTTTTTTGAACAACCCATACTGCACGCGTCGTCTTCCTCTTTGAAAACAAAATCTAAGATCCAGTGTGCCTTTCTCGCCTGCAACTTCTTTGATGTTTTCAATGATTATAATTTTATATTTGTCAAATTGCAACATGTCTAGCAGTCCGGCTGTTGTAATTCATTGTTACAAGACCTATCAAAACTGGTTGCAAGTTGTGCATACCTGTAACTCATTCCCCTCAAGTGCCTTTGATTAGTTTTGTCAGGCATTGTCAGGCCCTTTAGATGTCCTGTTAGTTCCCTGTGGTGATTGTTGATGTTGTTTCCTTTAACCGGCCCGTTTTGGCAGCCGTTTGAGAAACTTCAGCATCGTTTTCTAGAACCTTGTGAGTTTGGAGGGGTAATGTTGGACCCTGATAGTAATAAATGGAGAACCCTTAAAACAAACATGGGCCCAAAGGAGATTTCGTAAATCCTTCTGAGCCCTGTCCACCTGCACCCCCCCTCCCGTCCCAGGCACGCAAACTATTGTTTTATATTGATAATTGGTAACTATATATATATAGGTTTCTGGAGTTCTTCTTCATAAACTGACAGCTTCCCAAAACCAGCAAAACAAATTTTCCAGGTGGTAGACCAGGTAGGTAGGCCCCTGATATCCCCTGATCCTCAAAAATATATTTGCTTTAAGAGTTCGCAATTGTGCAATAGTTTTCACCAGTAAAACAAGATCATGCCCTGAGATCTTAATGCTACTACTAAGCCGATGACTGGCTTGCTGAAAGTATTGTAAATTACTATTACTATAGGTTTCTCTAGTTCTTCTTCACAGCTGACAGCTTCCGAAAGCTGCAATTTAGTAATCAATCCTTTATGTGAAGATTGTTCCAACACAGTTTTTCAAGGTAGGCCAGGAAGGCCCCTGATCCAAAATAATAGAATCTTAAGGGTTCTCGATTGAAAGCTTTCACCAGGAAAACCATTTCAGGAGATCTTATTTATACTACTAAACCAATGACTAGCTTGCTGAAAGTTTAAAAAGTAGTTATATAGTTATATATGTGTATAGGTTTCTCTAGTTCTTCTTCAAAACTGACAGCTTCCCAAAGCCATCAATTCCTTGATCAATCCTTTATTGAAGTGAAGATTGTTCCTAAACAAGTTTGATTAAAGGCAACAACAAGAATACAAAGAACCTGAGAAAGGAATGTGAACAACGTTCAATCCATGACAAGAAAGGAAAATCAATACTATTTACAATCAGTTGCACAAGGAATCCTCCCAGGAATCCAGATTTGATTTGGTGGTATTTATTGTAGAACATTTGTTTAGAGGGAGGGGGGTACTAATCAGGATCCCTCATTGCAACCCCAACACCCACTCCACAAAATAGAAACCTGGAACCTGCAAGGAACCACGGGTTCTCTCTCTCTCTTTCTAAGGGGTCCACCTGCTGGTTCTGCTCGAAGTTCTGGATGTCGATCTGGAAAGAAGCACCTGGCTTGCAACCGAAGAAACACCGCAACGCCAAAGACACAATAGAAACCTTTTGGACTTGCTATTCCACCTCGGGACTAACCCTCAGCTGAAATCTCAATGGGTAGCTTGCTCGGGAGGTTGCCAAAGATGGTCAAAATGCGTTGAATCATTAGAAATCTGCCCACTCGGCAACCAACTGACAGTTACAAACGGCAAAACTGTTTGCTACGCTGGACATGTTTTGGACATGGTAAAGGCAAATTACAGTACGCATTATGGCAAACCTGCCATCACGGCATTGAAGTTGCCATGGTGAACCAGGCCCTGACATGAGCAAACTTCCCTTCTGTGTGCGCCTTTGTAACCTTTCCCGGAAGAGACCATTTTTTTGAGAATTCTATTCGTGTCCAAATCCATTGGAACAACTCAACGGCGGTGCTTTTCTGGGGTCGAGTCCAATCACGAGAACAGCGACCGGTTGGAAGATCGGACCCTGGCCCTGGACAGTTGGGCCCTGGAATCATCATGGTGACGTGGATGGCCCCGAAAAGGATGACCATGTTCCAATTACTATATCAACAGGTGGTCTTCCACCTCCATGATTTTTCATGATATTCTCATGGGATGTGACAGAGCAGGACTGAGTTTCCATATGGCTACCTGCCACACTTCCCCTGGTTGATTCTGCCTTGCCAATTGTGTCAGGCCTGTGGAATGTGTGAATAATGAACTTACCATGCCCCAAAGGGGGTTGACGTGGCCCCTTCAAAAACAAAAAGACCGGATAACCCCACATGATAGGTCTTTACAAATTTCAAGTGTGTATAACGTGAGGTGTGAGACGGGGTAGTGGGATGAAAAGGGAAGAACACAGCGGGAGGAAAGGAGGTGTATGACACGCATATGCTGATGAGGTATGTGTGTGTGTGATAAGATGGCTCATGATGTGATGGACGGAGATGAGAGGGACAAGAGGGAGAAGGAGACGGAGAGGGATACTGCGCCTGCCACTCCGAAAACAACAAAACAAATCCGCACTAGACCTTCAAAAAGCCGCACCATCGATATGACCACAAACGTCATCAAGTGGTCGTATCGCGACCACGGTGTGTAGTGCGAAGCAAGAAGAGGTGAGACGCACTTTCTTTTTTCTGTCACGCCCGGAGATGTAGAGTGAGCTCCAGTCAGGACCTGAGCTGTAGACCACGGAAATGAATTCACCAAAATTAGACAAGGCTTCACAACCAGGCTATGCAGCAAGTCACAGGTCACAAATCGTCAAAAGCGTCAATTGCACAAACGAAGTCAATCAGTGGCATTGAAATGCGAAGCAGCGGCGATTTTTTAAGCTTCTCACAGAAACGTATCGCCACAAACGGTCTATAGCTCGTCACGTCGCCTTGCCGGACCCATTCGACTGTACTGAAGCGATTCGAGTATACAAAAAGTCCTAAGCCGGTCCCGGCGCACAAGCTCACAGCCCTTGAACCGCAGCAAAGATGCGAGGTCTGACAAAGGAATCTTGGTTGTATCGCGGTCTTG